CGGCTTTTTTCAGCCCAAAAAGTGGGCTGAAAAACTCGGCTTATACTTGAGTATATACGGTACTTAAGACTGTAGTTTCTAGGGAATGGCTACAAATTTTAATAGAACACTTGACTTTGTTTACAAGCCATAATTCAGCCATATAATCAACATTTATTACAACCAGTACTCAATCTATGTAACAATGGAGATAGAAGACACATCTATTTACATCATACATTGCATCTAAGCATCTACCAGAGGCGAACTTCGAATACAGTGATTCTTTCCTTATCTCACTCATTTCCTAGTGCAAACAGATGCAGTTATTTCATGCGAGCGCTGCATGCATCTGATGCTCGCAGCATGGAAGCCTCCACACTGCATGAACATCTAAATTATAGGCAGCACGGTGTCATCTAAGTGTGACATCGAGGTATACATGCTACCGCGTGGAAAAGCTTTTTGCTAGCTTCTCCCTGGCATTGTTTTTGATAAGTCTGGATACCTACTTCCAGTTGTAACTCAGAACATTTAAGCACAGTGCAGGTTTGGCAGGGGATCAACATCTGGTAAAGTGCGAAGCTAAACAAAGTAAGACAAAGTAGTAGCAAACAAGGAAAAAGCTACTTTGAAGGAGTTTAACCTTTTATCAATCGGCCTCACCTTTGATGGCTGAGAATAAAAACAGTTTTACCAAATTAACCGTTGCTTTGATGATAATCACAATCAGCCTTACAAACAATTGTAATTGTTTATAGTTACAATTGCTCACCGTTAACAACATTGCCAAAAAGGCATTCAGAGTTGTCAACCTTATTTTACGTGGTTTTCTTTCTGGTAACACTGTGATAACTAGGACCTACAAAACCTTTTGCCAGACTTGAAATACTGCTCACCTGCCTGGAACCCACACTGCATTTCGGACATTAAAACATTAGAGAAGGTGCAGAGGTATTTTACAAGAAGAGTACCCAACTCCTCTGCTCGTAATGAAATTCCGTACACCACCAGGATTGAAATTTTAGGAATAACCTTGAACTACTCCGTCTGCACTCCAACCTGAGCTTAGATAATCTGCCATGACTTCCTACCTGTTAGTGACTACTTTTACTTCAACTGCAATAACACAAGGGGCGTGACCCGACAATTGCGCGATAGACATATGCGCGCCGACAAAACCGCGCCATCAAAATCGCGCCCACAAATTCGTGACGTCCAAATCGTGCCGATAAAACCGCGACGACAAGCACAGGGTTAAGGGTTAGAACGTACGTATGTGCGGTTTTGTCGTCGCGCATTTGTCGAAAACCAATTAGCGATTTTGACGTCGCGGTTTTGTCGGCGCGCATACGTCTATCGCGCATTTGTCAGTGAACCCACAAGGGCTATCAATAGATACAAACTAAATGTAATCCGTTCTGATCTTGATTGCAGGAAAAACGATTCCAGCAGTAGAGTAGTGAATTTTTGTAACACTCTACCTGACCCTGTTGTTAGTTCCTCTAACCCACAAATCTTTTACCTTAAGCTGTCTACCGTGGACCTTACGCAATTCTTAAGGGGTCCCTAAGGGGGCGTACATAAGCGCACCAGCGTGCCTACCGTCCCTCTCCTACTGTCCCATTTATATGTACTCATTTTATGTGTTTATGGCTAAGTTTTCCTCATTTATATCCATTTATTTGTGCCATTTTTTCCAAGTGTTTTCATACTTGTTTCCTTCAACTTGTTGACAAACAAAATAAATAAATTAGAAGTAAAAGCGTTTCAATCGAGTGAGTGAACAGAATACATATACAGGGAGACCTTGAGCTTCAACCATTCATATAGGGACCGTTTGAAATGACAAGGGCACTAAAAAAAGTAACTTATGACCG